CTATATTTCATATTTTATTGTGCTAAAATTATTAATTGACATAGTTGTTAGAACACTTATTTTAATTATTTTTATTTCATTAACTATATTTATCTATTGTGCTAGTTATAATTTTTATTAGGGTATTATTATTTTTATTTGTAAAAACCTAATTCACCTCCCCTCTTAGGTTGTCTTTTGGGTAACAATTGACATTCTAAAGTGTTTATCACCTTAGAAACTCCTATTTATCACTCAGAAACTCCTGGGGTGCAAACGTATAAGCTTGTGTTAATTGAATTGAATGTGGGCGTATTAAATGCGAGCGTACCAGAACTTATGAACCTAGTTTAAGGTATAAGAATGCTTGACCATTTCTAACTTCTAACATAGAGAAATGACTGTGTGTGACTTAGAGGAACTGCCATTGGCTCGAATCTTACCTGTAATGACCCGAACATGCATTTAATTGACTGTGTATGACTTCGAGGAATTGCCATTGGCTCGGATCTTACCTGTAATGACCCGAACATGCATCTGATTAATTAGCCATCTAATTGCATTGCTATGTGCTACTTGATTATGTGCTTGTTGTGAAATTGCATGTCTAATGGTATGAATTAGAAGGATTTGAATGTATATCTGTTGACTGTAAAAAACCTGTTGGAATTACAACTTTAAATTGAAGATTGAAGGTCTTAGAGGCGCCAAAAACCAAAACTGAGCACATAGTTATGATCAACACGATTTTTAGGACTTTTTAAGAAGTTTTGTAAAAATTCGATTCAGAATGAAATAATTGGATTTAATTAATATATATTATATATAAGCTCTAGTTGAGCCTTAGCTTCAAAAAACAAAAACAAAAACAAAAACAAAAAATCTAGGGAGAGAGAAAGAGATTGAGAGAGTTTCAGAGACTAAGAGGAGGAAAGAATAAAAGAAGAGAAAGAAGAAGAGCAATGGAGATTAGGGTTTAATCTTCAACAAATCAACTAGCAAAGGTAAGATTTCTCCCCTAATTCATGAAATTGAGATGTCGTACTCATAATCCTTTAGAATTTGAGTTGGATTAGGATGAAATCAAGCTTGATTGGTATTGTTATGATGTAGTATACATGAAAGAACAAAGTAAGAAAGAGATGGTAAGAATTGAGCTCATAACATCACAAGCATGTAATTAATTCATGGAAATCTTGTTGTACACTTGAAATCTTGCATGGTTCTTCAAATTTGAGGGGAAAACCTCATGGATTATAAGATTGGAACTTAACATTTGCATGGTTTATAACTTTATACTTTAAACTCAAGAGTTTGATCTTTTGCATGAAAATCTGAGTTTTGTTTTGAAGTGATGATTTTGTTTGAAGTTCAAAATGTCTAGTTCAACATATTTTTTTACGAGAGTTGGCTTTGATTTACATAAAATTGAAGTTTTTGGTTGCAAAACTCAGCTTAAGCACTAATGCAGATTCTCGAACAGGTTTTGGCCCAAAATCGCACCTGCGGAAAAGGTTACCACATGTGCGGAAAACAAAACATGGAAGACTAAGCATTCTACAAAAATTGCACATGCAGACGCACGTGTGGTGGGGTTTCCGCACGTGCGGCTAGTGTCCCCGCACGTGCGGTTTTTAGGGCAGGCTCGGAATTATTTTATTTCAGTTTATCGGACTTTTGGGCCTCTATTTGCATGGTTTTCACATGTTTTTCTCAAGCATTCGCATATCATAAGCATGTAATAAATGAGAAAATGAATTGAACTAAATGAACGAACAAGTAACAATGAACCAAATCGAACCGAATAGGAGTAAGAACTGACGGAATGAATTGAATATGTGTTGAATTGTTGTGCTATGAATGTTTGTGTTTGTAGGTCAAGACTCAAAAACCGAACAACCGGTTTTGGAAGCCCACTGTGAGTAACATTACTGTAAAGATATGTTTATATGAATTATATTTGAAATGCTATTTGATAAGTTATGTTTTTCTGAAATGGTATTTTGTGAATGTGAATGAATATTTGATTTTGAATCTATTGTGGCATCCAAGGAATGATCCCAAGTCATGGGGGACAGCACGTTCATGCAGGTCCATGACAAATAAGTGATTATGAGATCTCATTAGCCACTTGACAAAGTGGTGATATGTTTAATCGGTGTTCGGAACCGATTACTCTAGTCAGAAGAGGATATGATATGTTTTGTTGGATGTACCACTATTATGTTTTGATATGAGAATAATTGTGATATGATTTGTTATACGAATATGATATATTTGAAATTCATTCACTAACCTCTTTACTTTAATATTATTCACTAGGTTATAGCTCACTGTTTGTATGTATATCTGTATAGGTGAGCATCCTGGAGATCAAGCCTAGAAGGGTTCCTTTAGTTGAGCCACTCATTGAAGCCCTACTGGGATTTTGGTGCCTCCAAGTTGAGGCTAGATTGAGAAGACCGTTGTATTGTTTGTGATTATATTGCTAGGCTTTCATTATATGTATCCATGGTCATGAATGATGTTTTTGCAAATGATATTATGTATGTATTGTATAGCGGGTAAATTAATGTTTATATGTATCTGAATTTGTGCATATAGATACACAACTCAATGGACTATTTGTTGCTTTTATATTAAGCTTCCGCAAGCCCTGATTATTTTGATTTGTACAGGAAGGCCTTTGGTAATCTCAAATTTCTGACCGATTACGACGCTAACCCTATAGGGGCAGATTTGGGTCGTGACATTACCCCAATGAAGAGAACTTTTATTCTAGGCGCTAAAGATAGGCTAAATTAGAATTGGACTTGCATTAATTGATAAATGAAGTGCAACTGCTAATCTAAGAATAATTTGAGAGACGATTAATTGCTAAGAATTGAATTGCTTGAATGTAAGATAAAGTTGTAAAAAGTTATGATAAAAGTAATGAAGCTAAGATAGATAAAAACTATGAAGCTAAGATAAATGTATTGAAAGACTCTTGGTCAAATTGTTTGGTCGAGGATCCCTTCAAATGTTGCACTTGGAGTCCTTTATATAGTGTTGGGGAAGCTCCTATTTCATCTTAACTACCAGGAACATAATAGCCTTTCCTGGTGACATGTGTCATTGATCCTTGGCTAATGCTTTTCTTTGTAGCTTTGATTTGGTCCATTGAGCTCTTTGTAGGTCGTCACGTGTCCCTCAATAATCAAATTTGAATTTATTCAGCATGATTTAGGAAAAAAGACTCATTTGGATTGATCCTCAAAACCTCTTCTTTTGTTGTGCATGTTTATCCACAAGAAACTCAAAAACCCAATCTTGCATTATTTAAGGAAAATAGTTCCTTGATTGTAGCATATTGTTGATCTCACATATCTTCACAGATGACACATGTCCCATCAAAAACCCCACTCAACTTAAGTTAGGAAAAAACGGTTCCACTTTTGTAGCCTTGTTGATTTGCTCAATCTCTTAAATCTCATGCATTCTTCATCCATAGCAATCACTTAACAACTAATTTAGGAGATAAGACACCTTAATAGTAGATAAGTCTTAACAACCTCTTAATTTTTAAGAACGGTTACGACTCATCTTATCTATCTGTTAGCAAAAGTTATGGTAGGCCTAGATCGACAGCAACCAAGCAATAATCTTAAACTAAACAATTAAACAGGAACAATCAAACAATTATGGTATTGGTTCGAATGCCTTAAAAGGATGAAGATTTCTTTGGATCTACTGCTCGTAACAAAGTAAACAAGTAAAACAAACTGTTTTATATCAACTGATGGTAATAAAGTGGACAAGATAAACAAAGGTGATTTCAGACTGAAATCACCAAAGTTCACCTAGTTACAAAGTACAAATTACAGTGGAAGAACTATTCCTAAGTTACAATCTGAACTGCTTATAAGTCTAAGAATTAAGTTGATCTGTTGCACCTTCTGCTTTTATACCTCCCCATTTTTCCCTAGCCCATGATTGCATGATTCTCCTAAATCCTGCAACTGCTCTCTCACTTCCCAACCCTCAAACTTCGCCAATTCTTCCTTTCTATCTATCGAACCACTTCTCCTTCATGTTGCCATGTGTCCTTTAGTCCTTTGGACCTTCCATCGACAGAGAAAAACTTCCATTCTGCACATGACTCTTCTTTCAAGTTACCCACAAGGTCTACGACCAAGCCTGATAATTGCTCTATCATTCGAACTATCCAATGCATGTGATCAACCTCTCTAATGCCACCTGCCCCTTGAACCTGCCGATAGGAATTTTATGATTCACTGCCATGTATCATCATCCGATTAATTCACCTGCCGATAGGAATTTTACGAAAATGGGTGCAAACACCATCAAATCTAAATTACTTTATTTAATTAATTAATCAACCAATCAACTTAGTTAATTAATTAAATAAAGTCAAATAATTTCCCTTTGTTCAGTCACCATTTCTCTTATCTTCCGTGAGTCTTAAAAAACCTTTGACTTTTCATCTTTCATTGCCACATGACATAAATAATGGTGGTGTTTGGGAAGTGTTTTTTTTTTGTTTTTTTTGGTTTTTTTTTTGCTAAAAAAACACTAAAAGACAAAATTAGTTAAAAAAACCAAAAAAAATAAATTCAGACAAAATATCACATCAAGCTCATAACCATTTCACTTTTTCTCTCACAAACATCCACTACTAAAAAAAATGCTTTTTGCGACCGTCACAAGCCATCGCAAATAATAAAAATACGGTCGCAAAAGACCTTTTGCGACGGCTCATGCGACCACAATGGGGGACGCTAATGTGGGGGTGGCAAATACTTTTTGCAACTGCAAAACAGCAGTCGCAAATTATTTGCGATTGCCTAACCTACTTTTTGCGACAACTATTTTACCGTCGTAAAAAAATCAAAAACACTTTCAGCGACTATTCTTTTACCGTCGCAAATCATTATTTTTATAATAAAATCATAAATATGTTTGCTACAACAAAAAAATCAATTGCAAGCACCTAACAAATTTTTTTTTTTAATGAGAAATTAACAAATTAATTTAAACTTATAATAGAAATATTCACCTATTCACATATAAGTGTGCAAACAAAACATAAACTTTCATACATGCAAAACAAATATCCATCAACCATCCTTAAAATATATTATACTAAAAGATTCAAGTCCTCAAAAAAATATAAATATAAATATAAATAAAAGAAAAAAAGAAAAGAAAAGAAAAAAAAAGCGCAACATAATCTTAGTTTGGCTCCCAAACATCACCTGCTCAATCATATCAACTATTCCTTCAACAAAACCTGCAAAAACATATACACGTGACTTGAAAATTTAATGCAGTTTAACTTGAAATAATAAAAATAAAACTATTCCAAAAGAAATTGTCAAGAGAAAAAAGTTCATTCTCTAAATTCCTTTGAGCTGGTTTCTTGCAACTTTTAAGTGATACAATAATTATTACAGTCCCAATTTTGAACATTTTGGCAATGCCCGAGTAGTACTAGTGCAATTAAAATAATGTGTATATTTTGTTTACAAACAAAAAATAAGCTGGATTCCTGCTTATAGACAAAGCAAGTAATCTGAATGACAATAATTTGAAAAAATATTTGCATAATAAGTTATAGCTCCAATGGCTACTATCATAATAAGTTATATTCCATGTCACCAGACTCGACAAGAAAAAAATAAAATATAAAATAAAAAGGAGACACAACCCTCTTTTCTTGGTAGTTTACAAGATTTTCACTTATTTCATAAAAGTTTACAAGGTTTTCACTTATTCCTTTAGAGCATAGCACAAAAGCTACCAAAATCACTCTTTTTTGCAACCTTTTTCTACTGCACAGAAGAACTACCATCTCTATTTTTCTTAGTTTGCTAGCTTACAGGCACACACAACCCTCTTTTCTCATGTTTTCTACAAAGAGGTCCCTGTATATATTAAAATTACCCACTACAGGACATACATACACTAACAATTTCTAAACAAAAGATTATTATAAAAAATTAATAATAGTAATTAGTTGTGGCTCATGTAATTATTGGTTAGATTATTATAAAATTATCTCATTTCCTATACATCAATAATGGGCAAGTGATACAAAAGGTTATCAAAGTAGAGAAATTCTATACCTCACAACTTTAGTATTCTTTTATTAGCAGAAATGAAAAATAACCTGATATGTAGATTGGAATTTTAAATTGAAGCATGTCTTCACACCTTGCACCATTCAAAGTCAAGACCCTTGGCAGATGAAAAAGCTACCCCAGAAAATGAATAGCGGTCCACAATGAGGGTGGTTCCACTTCTCAGCTTAGACTCCATTAATGATCTGCAAATACATTGTAGATGATCATGTACAATACAACCTTCACATTTAAAATATTTGCTTGTGCGAACGTCTAAAGTACCAATCGCTAACAGATTACATAGTTGAACATTTGGGGATTATAAATCCAACATTCTAATAACTTTACTATTAGATGGATCTGTTAATATGAAAGAAAAAAAATGGGACCATTAGACAAACAAGTGCATAATAACTAAATGATTTCAAAAGTTACAACATCATATTACGTAGGAGGCAGAGCCCTTGCCCTGCAAATCTAAAAAAGTTCTGTAGACAGCTCCTGCAAAAGGCTTCACTAGTTGGCGATGCTCACAAAATCACTAATATGACTCAAAACAGGTACATGAGAATCTACTAAAAGTGAAACACGTAGCTCAAAAATCGTGTCAATATATTAGTATTAGATTTTGAAAAATGATTGGTCACAATATAAATAGTATAAGGTAACCCTGTGTGGAAAGATATGATCAACCAAATGGATGTATCCGAACCCGTCACATCTGCAGATCAAACTAAGCCATAATCAGTGCCACATGACAACAAGTTTTGGATGACATCTGCAAGACTGTTGCTTGCAGTTTTTCTTTACTAGAGCAAAAGTCACAAAATAAAATTTAATCTGTCCCTAAATCCAGACCTTTTTTCAGCAAAATGACAACATAATGTTTAACACTAATGTTGGAGTTGAGCATAAAGAAACATTTAGCACTTCATACACAGCTATTTATTAATTTTAAGCTACTTTCATATGTAGAACGATACAAATGACTGATAAATTGATGATTACCTACAAATGCAAAAAAAACAAAAATTAATTCCCATCCAAAAAATGCAAAAAATGAGAGGATCAGCTGAACTGACATGAGATCCCAAATAGCCATTTACAATTCATGATTCACAGCTCCACCGCAACGTATTATCCTCTTGGGAGTCCAATTAAAACACCAAGGCAAGGCAGTGTTAAATACTAGAAGAGAAAACAAACAAACCAACAGCAGAGTTGAACAAAAAACCAAAAAAATAGTCCCTTACATGTTGAAAAAGCTGACTGATAACACTCTGAAAATGCTCTTGCACCATTGGGGGGTGTCCTCATCCATGTCCTTGCGCATAGGCATAGTCATAGGCTGGGAAGTATGGAGAAGAAGGGATTTGCAAATCATCCCTGAACAACAACCAAATTCAAAACTATTCAAACTGAAAGAAAGAAAGAAAGAATAAATAAAATTAAGAAGAAGAAGAATAAAAAAGGTCAAAGTCGTGAATTGTATAAATCTTACCTAACGAACCAAATTTTAGGCTCCCAAAACTCATCGGAGTAGATGGCCTTATTGTTAGAAGTTTATTACATGGATCAATTTCATTATCCTTTTCTAGGTTATCAATTTTTTCTTACTTGTCCATGATGGCTTCACAGTCCATATTTAAATCAGGAATAGTTGCCATTTTCAATGCATATTTTGTACTAATTTTTTTGACCTCTGTATTAGAGTAAAGTTTCTGCAGAGTTATGCATATCAATTAACGAATTCATTCATTGTTCTTAGATGTAAGTAATATATACAAAATGTCTTTGATATCAGTTAGACATCAATTGAACAATAAAAATCAAAAGGATGAAAAGACAATTGGTGTTCTGTGTAAACATACCTCAGCAGAATAAGCTTGGAATATGGGTAGAAAACGTTTCCGGCAATAGTCATTGAATATAAGAGTGAGAACTGGAAGAGAAACACAAAAGGTGGATGCCAGGGGAATTTTCTTCAGCCCAAATATTCCAATGGCAATAATTTGCGTCAATATTAGGGAAAATATTGTTGGACTGTGTACTACTGGCCAAAATGTTCCACCAGTCTTAAACTTGGGTGCATAAACATTCAATAGCTGCACAAGAAATATGCCAAAAAAATTCAAATTGCCAACCACGCAAACCAGCACATGGACAACACTTGAAAATTCAGAATGGCTATCCACTAGGTAGAGAAATTGAATATTATTTTGTTTACTGAAGAATTTCTAATATTCTTTTGATTACAAGCGAGTTTTCTCAATTGAATAGAGAAATTGTAGCAAATACAAAGAGAAAATGATAAAACTTAAAAAATTGGTTAGTGTTAGTTACTCACAGTTGGGTATGCTTGAGCTCAATCTTGAGTTTTTGCTGAACTCTCTCCATTAGACCTTTAGATTATGTCGGAAGCAATGGACTGAACCCCATCATCATGTCATGTCCCTTAGCAACTATTTGATCGAGCGAGAAATCCAAAGTGTGGGATCATGTAAAAGATAGAGACTCTTAACCGGGCAAAGACACAAAAAATAGTCAACACACATAAGTATGTACATGGATGGGTATAAATAATTGGTACATTTCTCGTTACATAACTCCTCTCTACCCTACCAATGATAATAAAAAATATAAATTAAAAAAAAAAAAGCAATGCTATATGACAAATCAATGAATACATCTACCAACTCCAACTCTCAATCTCAAACATCCATAAAAGAATCAAGGGATTCCAAACCACCACCACGAAGTTCCAACCACCCTACTTCAGGCCAAAAAAAAAATCTCATGTAGCCCAGACATAGTTGTTAAATTGTGATCTGCATGGAAGGATAGTACGATCCTGTGATCCAAAAAATTAAAATTGATCTGGATCGCATTAAAAACCGTAGCAGAGGTAGGATCATATCATGACCGTTAGGATCATAGGATTGAGTCATAGAATCGTACAATTGTAATCTTGAAACTTAAAAATTTCCCTGGTCTTTCCAATTTGTTACATCTTTTAGCTCAAATAAGAATAACAAATAAACCTCAAAACTAAGTAAAGGTCGTGAATCAATCAACACATTTTGGTTTAAGTTCATATTTTACAACAAAATCCCACATAGTTAAGAAAAACAGCAAGGGCTAAGTTTAAACCGGGTAGCATTTAGTTTTGAATTTAAGAAGAGAACAAAATGCATTTCCTTGTGCCTTGTCAAATTTAAAACTAGAGAAATTACACCACCACAAATTATTTTCCTAAGATTAAATACTTGATTATAATTGCAAACGTTGCAATGAAAAGTCTAAAGAGCAAAAATACTTCTGAAAGAAGCAATGTCCATTATATCAATGCTTGCTTTCCCACTTTTGTCATGTATCAGCACCTGTTAAGCTAAACAACTAACTCAAGCTTAACAAGTAGCAATTTTCTTTTCGATGGCTACTCCAAAACTTAGATAATTACTATGACAGAACTATATGTAAGGCAATAATCAAGACAAATAGAAACACTCAAGTGAATAAAAAAATTAACAACGACAAAATCTAAACACAATCTAAAGGAATTCAATTGCAATCCACAACAACTATAGGTATATCAATGAAATTAATCGAAGGTCCACAATTCTATATATATATCACCACTGACCTATATATGTAGCAATTTTTCTATATGTTGAAAAAGGTATTGATGCTCAGAAATCACAATAAAAATTATCAAGAATTGAAATATAAATATGGCCTCAATGAATAAGAATTGAAATATAAGAAGTAGATAGAAAGAGTAAACACAATGATCGAAGAGAAGAAAAGAGTGCGAACAGAGCGGCTCTATGCTAGAAATTGAAACTAAATGAAATGAAATCGTGAAAAACAGAAATCGCAAAGAACAGAATTCCAAATGATATTGAAGGCATCGATCATAAGAAGAAATCGCAAAGAACATAAATTGAAGAACAGAAATCGCGAAGGGCAGATGACTGAATCGATCCAAACCCTAGCGAATGTATATACAGAGAGTATACGAGAGAGATCAAGAGATATTGACAGATCGAGAGAGAGAGAGATTCATACCGTTGTTCTGCAGACGACGATGGGCGAGCGAGAGAAAGAGAACAATGTCTAGAGTTTGAGCGAGCCTGTGCCAGACTAGGGCAAATATAAATAAAAGAAAATAGGGAAAATAAACACCTTCAAAAATGTTGTCATAAGTATATTTTTTGCTACGATTACATAGACGGTTGCAAAAAAATAGACGCAAAAAACCAATTTTCTAGTAGTGATCACATCCAATTACAAAAAAAATTATCTTTCCAAATACAAAAATTTTAACCTCCTAAAATAATCAAAAACTAAGAAAATCTACTAAAATAACAACTTTCCAAACACTCACAATATAAGAAAATTATCACGTCGCAAATTTGTCAAAAATGGTGCAAATATAAAGTCATATATTAGTTCAACATCAATAAATAATAATTAATTTGATGAAATACCAGAATCACATTTCTAGGGTTAATAATTATAATTCATTACGCTTTATTATAATTATATGTATATCACAATAAATAAATAAATACATAAATAAATAAATAAAAGTATCCCCATAGAAAATAATGGAGCTGCTAATTGAAAATGAGGCATGTGGGTCCATAACGATTTATATTATATACAAAAACATGATTAAGAATAGTGCATGTCACAATCAGATGGTGAAACACCTATCCATAAGAAGTTGGCAATTTTTGTGGCTATTTATTATTAAATGGTAATCATTCATTTGGCTTTGTTTCAACAACATACTGATTTGGCTTACTTGGGGCATTATGTGAGAGGAAGAAATTTTTGATAGAGACAATCCCATTTAAAATCTAAAGATTGAATACGAAGGATGTTGGTTAGTAGTTTAGGTATAAGAGAAATTTTATTAATTTAGAATTTAGTTCAAGAAATTTATTTTGAAAGAAAATGTGCAGTTGAAATTTAGTTGGTGCATTATAAATTCTATAAATATATATCATAAATTGGGATCATATTTGTCATTGATTGGCGCTTGTCATCTTCCTGAGAAGCCGGCTCTATGAGTGGAACTACATACCCTTGTGCATTATGCCTAAAGACTAACCCAGGTGATGCGATAGGAATCTACCCTGTCTGTCTTGCCAGTCACAAACTAATGCGCTTGCAAGGTGCTTGGCGTAGAACTCGCATCCCCAATGAGTCGGTACGTGACATGCTACCACTGCCAATCCCTGACACCCTTGTTATGGGGACATTACTTTGCCTGTCTCCATGCTTGTCCGTTCCCCTATCCATGGGAAACCCGTCCCAGTGTGGACACTACCCTTTGGTGCGGACCCCACAATGAAGGTGCTTGGTATAATTTTCACATACCGTCCCCATCGCAGTGCCCCTAAACTGGCTTTGATATCACTTGTCACGGATTGGGCGCTTGTTATCCTCCCAAGAAGCCTACTCCATGAGTAGTACTGCATACCCCCGTGCATTATGCCTAAAGACCAACCCATGTGATGCGATAGGGATCTACCCTACCTGCCTTGCCGCTCACAAACTAATGTGCTTGGAAGGTGCTTGGCATAGAACTCGCATCCCCAACAAGTAAAATTTTGATAAAAATTATGGGTATAGTGTATTGTTGTTAGGTAGAATGGTCATGTACAATGTTGAATGCAGTTCATATTTCTACAAAATATATACTATACAAACATTTTTTAGATTTGAAAAAATTACATTGAATCATACAAATTTAGTATAATTATATTACATTCTTTTAAGATTTTAATTCACATAATATTATACTTTATTTTCATTGATAATTTTTTTATCATATTGTTACAAAACAATTATGTTATCACACTGAAATGTATATTTTATCTTTATTATACTTGTGTCTACATTACATTACATATATTAGCTTTGTTTATTTTGGTCTGGCCTGTTCTCAGGGCCAATCGGGTTCTTGTCAAAAATTGGGTCAGTCTTGGCCGGGCCATTTGCGCAAAATCTTGACCCAAGTCCAGAGGTAATCGGGCCTTGAACTTCAGACCTGAACTCAGGCTTGGGCGGGCCTAAGCCGAGCTTGACATTTTTAAAAAAAAATTATATTTTTTTCACCAAAATTGGTTGAAAGTGATGTTGGCTGTCAGGCGAGCAGGGCTAGGGGTCGGGCTAGCAAACCATGGCCCAAGCTCTAGCCCAATGGATCGGGTTGGGTCAGGCTGGGTCGGGTCTCAATCATGGGCTAGCCTAGTCGAATTGGGCCTGGCAAGGCCTTGGCCTTATTTCGAGCCAGTGGGCCATTTTTCTGGCCCTATCTACACTTTTAAGTCCAATTTTAATTTGGTCGTTACGAATAAATTTCTGTCAATTTTGTCTATCTGTACATCTTAGAAAATTGACAAGTGTTTCAAAATTATTAATTTTAGCCTTTATTTTGAACAAAATGACCAAATTGAAACTACATTTAAAGTATAGGGACATTTACCAATCAGTCCTATTAAATAGACTTATTTACCTACAAGTTCTGATTAATAAATTTATCATTGTAAATTTATTCATAAAAATAAGAGAAACTAATAAATTTATCAATAGGATTTAATGAGTAATAAGTCCCAAAAATAGGACCTATTGGCCCAATTATTCAATTTAAAACTATAAAGACTAAAATAAAATTTAAATCAAACTACAAAAGAAAAAAAAATTATTTACTTTCCCTATTGGACTTATTGTGCTATGACAATTTAAAATAATAATAAAGTAAATATAATAAATGAAGAGCAAATTCTTATGCACCACAACATTGTCTTGGTACAAAACAGCTAGTGTGGCCGTCCACTAGAAAAATGAGTTATATTTGTTGAAGATTCTATAAGTGGGTGCCTAAAATGTCATCTTTTAAGTCTTTAAGATCACACATTAGCTTTAATAAACATTGGTGTTCAAAATCTATCTTAATGACTTTTTAATATTCTTTTGGACGTATGGAATTTTTAAAACACCAAAAGCTTCTGAAAGTTTTGGTTTCTTGTGCAAAAGTTACAAGATTTTAAAAAGCCACAAAAGCTTCAAGGATAAATATGGATTTCCCTTTTTTATCCTTTCTCTTTTCTTTTTTTTTTCTTCTTTTTTTTTTCCTTCCTTTCTCTCTTTGGAGAGCATGATGTTTTCAAAATAAGAATAAATAAATAATAATAACTAGTGGCATGATAGTAGACAAAAGGTAGTTTGAATGCACTTCTTTCTTGTACAAAATCAATAACTTGTATTACTTTATATTTTATATTTTTTTTAAAAAAATGCCATGTTTGGATGTAAAAAAATAAAAAATAAAAAAATTATTATTTCTCACCTTCTTATTTGGATAAACAATAAATAAAAGATGATATGTATCATTTTATTTTATTTGCTTTGTATTTAGAGAAAGGTAATTTAGGTTTTATCCAAAAAAAATTAAAGAATAATTTTGGTTTCTCAACATTTCCTTTCTAAATAAATCTCATCTCTTAAATCATTCAAAAAAGTGATGAGAAATCTCATTCTTTCTATTTTTTTTTTTTCTCACCAAATCCCTCCATCCAAATGAATGTGCATTTTTCTGACAACAATATATGATGAAATTGAGAATACGTTTTTTTCTAGCGTTTGTTAGGATTGAAAATAAAAATTAAAAATAAAATAAAAATATTTTTCATGATAGAAGAAAAATGAGCTCAGACAGATATGTTGTGCCAAAGAGTATCCAATGCCATACTTGTCTTCATATGAAATGGTTTTCATATTCTCATGCCTCTACAGTGACCAGCAATGTCTTAGGTCTTTCAATGGACAACCTTTTGTACTTTGAAAGCAAATAAGCATCTTCGGATTCTGAATCAATGTGTGTGTGTATATACAAATGTAATACGTTTGTAATTTCACATTTAAATTTTTAGATGGTTTGATGATTGAGAGATTATTTGGTAAATGAGAAAATCATTTGGCAGTTTTGATTAAGGAGAAGAGCAACTATTCAAGTTTAAAAATTAGATTCATTTTTCAAGTTCAATGATTTGTCAATTAATTAGAATATCTAAGATTACACTATTTTTCATATCTAGGAATGTAAAAATGGCCCGCGGCGAGTGGGAGGCCCGAAGCCTGCCCGCAACTCTGGGTGGGCCCTGCCTGTTTGGGCCTAAGCCCGAGCCCAGTCCAAGCCCCTGGGCTAGGGCCAAGGCCATCATTTTGAAACTTAGCCCGCCTGGCCCAGTCCATCGGCCTACTTAAGGCCCACTTAAAACCTAGCCCGAAACCCCGCGCCCCTGAAACCCAGTATCTTTTTTAGTAGAAAATAATAAAATTTGGTAGTAAAAATTTAAAAAAAAAAACAAAAAAAGTGGTCAGGCCCGTCCAAGCCCAAGGCCAAGCCTAGACCCATCGGGCCGGCCCGTCCAAGGCCTGAATGCCCTGGGGTTGGGCCTAGACCTAATTTTTTTAGCTCATGGGCCGGATCGGTCCAACCCAAATTTTGATAGGAGTCTGCGAGGCCCGACATGGACCGAGCCGGACCGGGCCAGATTTACACCCCTACTCTTATCTTTCCTAATCATCAACCAATCATATAACTTACACATCATTAAATGTAAGAAATTAACTTAAAAAGTGAGTTTGTTTATCATTTTTCATAAGGAAATCGTTCATTAATTATTGAATGTTACAGCTATTAGATTATGAAGGGCATTATTGAGGGGGAAAAATACGTGACATCATTCACATCAAATGATATACGTATTATATAATAGAATAGAGGGAATAGATGTCCATTTAGATTCAGCTCCTCTCAATTTCATGGTCGAATTGGTGACCTCTATTCCAGTTTATCTGATCACAATTAAAAGTTTTTTTAAGTTAAATGTTCAGCATTAAATTATCAATAATTAATTTTTAATTTTAACAAACATTTTACACCACCTGTATGTGAGCTTTCTCTCGCAGCTTTAGGTTGTATTTAGATTATAAATTTAGGTAGAGGTTTCAGATTGGGGGTGGGTGCTATGACAACACCCATGCTGTCATACCCCATATGGTTTATTTCAATTATATTTTAATTATCCGAAACGTTATATTATAAGATTTGCTGAGTATATTATTCTTATAAAAAATAAAATTAATCAAGCAAATATAATCACATGATCAAGACGAATAATAACCCTAAAAAATTATTAAAATCATAGTAACCATTTATTTTCTTTTTGAACATAAACATAGTCTTATTCTGAGTTACAGATGTCTAATTAACTTGAATTTTTACATGGATGATCTATTCAACGAATCCTACACTATGAACATTTCAAATCATTAAAATAAATTCAGGACGTGCCTTCACGGGCTCACAACACAGTGCTATACCTATAAGGCACATCACCAACCTCATTCCCATCAAATATAGGTAAAATGTAACTATATTTTATTTATATTTTACCCATCTTTTTTATTTCTCTTTCTTTTTCTTTTTAAATTTTTATCCAAATTCATGATCAAAAAACAACTCAAGAGTTGTATTTGTCTCTCATTCTCTCAATGTAACAAAATTGCAATAATTAAAATTCTATGGATCATGTTCTCTTGAAACAACAATAATCGAAATTTTATGGATCATGTTCTCTTTGAAGTAGGGGACAAATTATTTTCGTAACTAAAATAATGCTTCATAAAATTTAAAATTAAAAATTGAAAATTAAGTATTGAAAATAAAATGTTAAAATTTTCAAGTTAAAAATCATTCAATAGAAGTTTTAGTATTGAACTAAAATAAATTGTTCAATATGTAAACTTGAAATTTGTTATTTTTAAATTTTTCTTTTAATTTTTATATTGTGGGTGGTAGTAGTGGTGGAGGTGGTGGTGACAATGGAGGTAGTGTAGTGACGCTAGTAGTTAAGGTAATGATGGTTGAGGGGGAGGATTGTGGTTGTTAGTAGCAATGGAAAGGTGATAGTAGTAATAGCGACAATCATAGTGGTGGTGTAGAGATGAAGTGAAATAATCATAACGCTTGTAACATTGATGACAATGATAGTCGCAGAGGTGATAGTGATAATGATGGTAGAGTGGTGGTTTGATGGCAGTAGTGATGGCAGCAGTTAGGTAGAGGTGTTGTAGTGGTGGTGCTTGGCAACGAAGATGGTGAGGTCATAAGAGTGCATGTCAATATTTATGCATAAATAGTCATGAATTCAATTATCACTAAATTTTAAGAGTTACTTGAATTTTCAAGTGATACAAATTATAATTATCACATACTTAATTGATTTTCAGTTAATATATTCAATTTTAAATGTTGAATTAGATTATCAAATATCACCTAAGACGGTAGAATAAACGTGCGTCCAAAGCAAGATATTCTTTAATTAAAAAAAATATAGGGAAAATTACAACAAAAATTAAAATAAAATAAAATAAAAACCCCAAGGTTTAAGCATGCTAACAAAATAAATCATGGATTTTTAATTTTATCAATGAAATTCTAATCTTTTTATTTATTTTCAATCTAAATCATCTGTCTATTTTTGTTAAGTAAAACTATCGAAAAAATAGTATTTTAATCATTAAGGTCTTGTTTGGGAACAAGCTATTTTAGTAACTTTTTAATTTTTTATGAAAAAATATGTAGAAAAGTAGAGAGAGTGATGTGACAACTTATAGTGACTTTTTGACTTTGTGGCTAAAATATGTAGTTTGTCAAGCGAGGCCTAAATTAATGAAAAAATAGTATTTTAGACATATTCCGTACACGTACATGGAGTCTAATGACTAAATTATCAATTTTCAGTCAATTTTATTTAACAAAAATAGGATTATGATTTTGATTGAAAACAAATAAGAAAATTACGATTTAAATTGACAAAATTAAAAATTCAAGGTTTATTTTGTTATAAGGCTCAAATCTTAAAGGATTTTTTATAATTTCTCTAAAAAAATTATATACAAATAGAATATAATAAATAGATTTTTATCTAATTTTCTTATCACTTTAATCCGTCCAAGTCTGATATATATTTAGGGTGAATTACAAATACACCCCCTGAAGTTTAGTTAAAATACGAATCGCCTCTTATGGTTTTGCAAATTACATTTCACCTCCTGAGATTTCTAATTTCATAACAAATCGCCCATTTTATTGATAAATCATCAAGTCAATTAACAATTTTTAATGATGTTAAAAATATGTTTCAATTAATAATTTAAGTAATTTTATTATTGTATAGAAAAACAATTATGAATTTTATTTTTTTAGTTAATTCTATTAAATAAATTTTTTTGATAAGGGAGTATTTGTAATTTTTCAAACTACAAGGAGCAATCTGTATTTTAAACAAACTTCAAGGGGTATATTTGTAATTTACCCATATATTTATTAATATAAACTCACTTCTTTATATCTAATGATTATTTTAAAATATACATATATATATATAAGAAAATCATTCATTTATAACATTACTTTTCTAATATTGTGTTTGGTTAAGAGATTTGGGAAGAAATTTAAAAAACAAAAGGAAAAAAGTATGTAAAATTAAGTAAAATGTAAGTATATATTTTTTTCACATTTTACTTACTTTTTTCTTTCTATTTTCAAATTTCTCCCTAAATCTCCCAACAAAACAAAAAATTATTGATTGATCCTAAGACATCACATGATTATACCTCAAGCCAATCACAAACTCTCATACCTTTTTATGTTCTCTAATCACTTAGCACAAAATCATAAATTCTACTCCTTTCACTAATCGCAATGCATATATGTCCTACTTCAATCAATCATATATAATAAACGTACATTTTTGGCTCACTCAAAGAGAAATATTTGGGACCTCTTTTTTGGAATTTCATAACTCCTAATTTGATCTTGACCCTTGATGTGCGTAGGGTCCACTCATGTATGTGTAGGTCTCACATTATGATTGATTGGGATAAGAATGAGAGTTGTAAGAGTCATATATATGTGGAGATCTTTTTCACTCAAAAGTGAGAAAAATTTTAGAGAGCACATCATCACTTCAGTGTATTTCTCACTCCAAAAATAAAAATAAAAAATCATCTCTCCAACGTCTAATTAGAGAAGCTATGAAGCTAGTTGTCGAAGTAGTGTGGCCATACAACTTTGCTTCTTTTTTTTTTTTTTTTTTTTTTTATTTTTTTTGTTGTTAACTAATACAGCTTTGCTTACAGCTTTGGACAGATTATAATATAATATTTAAATTATTAATTTGTAAAACTCACATTATAGATTAGACTTTGACAAATATTTTATCCAAAAAAATTTTACAAATTTCTAATCCTACAAATAATAATACAAAAAAACATATAAATTATAAATCAAATATAGACAAGTGAAAATTATTAATCTCACTCGACTAAGTAACTAATTCTACACTAAACATATGAATTACTTCTAATTTTTTTTAAGTCTTGTGTGATGTAGAAACAAACAATATAACCCAAACTACTTCCACATGGGGAAGGACTAGACTCCAACATATATAACGGCCTAAAAATGTTTTTTTATTCATCATCTCTTTGTCCCAACATATGCTTCATTTGGACTATTATCAAATGGTTTGTGTTCCCCCAAAATCTGGACACATACCAAACAACAAAATATATAATATAACAAAATAAAGATAAAACCCCCCACAAAATCACTAGTATATATCTCTATGCTAAGACACCAACACATAATAATATTTTGAAAACAGTGGCTGTGGCTCTCAAGCAGACCAGCAAGATTGACTTGTTATAAATTTTATGTTCGACCTTATTTACTGTTTTGATTCTCAACATACAAAGGTCTTATCATTTCTCAAAAAAAAAAACACGACAGTCGTATCGAGTGCACAAGGCTCCGAGGTTATATGCAAGCAACCTTTCTTCTACTATTTTGATCCCCATCATACATTAGAGCTAAATGGTAACAGGTCCTTGGTTTTCATAACTTGTAGTTACACTTCCAAAATAGTTTGAAAGCTCACTTCCCCAAGTGAACATAAAACCAATGCAGGAACAAAACACAGACCGGTCCATCAAGTTACACACCATCAGGAACTGAGATTCAGTACAAATATTAGCTTCCCCATTATCACTTCAACCCCAGATATAGCTAAGGCTGTCAAATAGCATTCACAAATATAGACATTACAATGGCAAAGAGATATCGTTCTTCACCAAACCAGTCCCCCACTACCAGATTTTCACTTCTTTTTGGGTATTTACAAAGTCTCACTCGCTTTCAATGCCACGTTACTCATCTAACAATACACACTAACACATACCGTTACAAGAGTCTACCCTTTTTTTGTATAATTGAGACATGTTAGTGTTATCTCCACAGGGGCAAAAGGGGCAAATAAATAAAATACATTAGCACCTTCATTAACCTACTAGTCCTTCCGTTTATCCTAAGCTGCAAGCGGATTCCGAATGATTATGAAACTTTAGAATTCTAAAGTAGGTCAAAATAATGGCAATGAGCAAGTGCTGAGATTGAGATACCAAAGCGCCACTAAGACTGAAAGAAAGGATCAAAGTTTGGTAAATGTTACTGCCAAATATATCAGAGTCCCAGTTATGATACAAAGAAGTTCATTTTCAGCTATTCAAACCTTTGGTTCAATATATATCCTTAACAGGTGAATTCACCTTCTTGACCATCTTTTAGTTAGTCCAGAGACCTGCAAGCAAGAAAAGCACCACTATGTTCAGCCAACAAATAATAAAAGATGATACAACTTCTCAGCTTAGTCTAACATAATAAATCCACTGGAGACCCCAAAATCAACATATTAATAGCAAATTACTGTTACAATCAATGGTGATTCATCCTATCATGTTGTTTAAATTGTCGCAGCAACAAAAGAATGACAGGGAATGGGCAGGTATAGCAGTTAAAAGAGACTGAGAATACCAATCTTCCATACTTGAATATCGGTTTCTGTTCTTTGTTTTCTTCTCTTCTACAATCAAATTATTGAAACAATCACACCAAGTACAGAAAAGGGGGCTGTTTGGTGCACCTTATGAAGCTGCTCATAGCTTTTTTTATTTTGGAAATCTACGCCAAAGTGTTTGGTTCAGTTTCTACTTACAGCTTATGAGATAAAAATAAGTTGATTATTGAGAAGCAAGCAGAGAGGAGCTTTTAGCTTCTGCTTCTGATTATCAACTTTTAGCTTGCAAAAAACTGCACCAAACAGGTCTAAAGAGCTCAACTTATCTAAAGGTGTGCGGTTAGGGTCTAATACTATGATGGCCTCAGGCTACTTCTTGGACATATATTATTGTTCCTCAGCCTAATAAATACTAAAAGGGTAGCGTCAAACTGTAACATCATTATATTAGATACCTTACAACAGCAGATCGCTTGACATATATATATATATCTTCAAGCGTGAGACCTGCTAATAAATACTTGAGACACTGGCAAGGCTGGGAAAGACGGTGGCGTGCATTTATTACAGAAAAGTAGTCCTTTATTGGTTACATCACAGTGCTAGAGAAGAACATTTTCATATTTATGGCATTGAATCTACTAAAAGAAGAATACTAGATCCATTCATGATTACAGTACGGTATGGTGCTAGAGAAGAACATTTTATATTTGATAGCATTCATGCTAAATTTGGACCTAGGATTTGATGAGGATGAGGAAAAGAAAATGAAATTGCATGTACTCATTTTTCTATAGATAATCAAATAAAAAAATATTATAAATTCCTAATCATTTTCTTCTTATGTTCCATCCCAATCCCAACAAAACAAAATAAAGAAACTAGTCTCACTTTATGTTCTTTTCTTTTCCCTTTCTTTTCCTTTAACAAATCCAAATTTCAAACACATCATCGATCTACTATAAGGGTGATAGTAAATCCGTTCATTAATAGGATGTTTTTCTAGTCCTTGTCCATTAAGGATTCTCCCACTCCTCAACAACTTCCTTCTCGCTCCTTTTCCTGTCTTTACCGAGAGTAAAATTTACAAGAGCACAATTTCTTTCCTACCGCTTCAGAACTCTATAAATTTTAATGTCAATGTCACATCTACAAACACAAAGAGCATGCATCTACACACAAAGAGCATAGCAAAACAAGGTTATGTTCATGGTGCATCTTCCAGCTGGAGAAGGGGTTACAAATTATATATACATGTATATATAAGTATATAACAATCCTCTCCTGGGACCCACGGCCAACTGAACTAGAAAAAAAGCTAACTAGAAAGCAGAGAGAGATGAAAATAAAATGTGAAGACAGAAAGCTTTACCTCAAGAAATTTGACAATAAAAAGCACGGACCCTCCAAATTATCAACAAACATCTGAGGATAACAAACAAAATAGTCTACATGCCATCTTTCAGCCGGCTACTTTTATGGCACCCATCTCATCAATCTTTGAGCTCTTATGCTGCATAATTAGCAGATAAACAGAAGATGCAATCAAAAGGAAGAAAGAGAGACAAATAAACATACTGGATAACACGGCAAAAAAAAAGTAAATAGTAGTGTTTGGTTTATACCTAAACAGAACTTTAGAAAAGAAAAGACAACGTTATCTTTAAATTGACAAGCTTGGCTATTTCGTAAATAAAAACTTGACCACCCCCATCCCGCACTATTGCAACCAATTTTTTTTATAACCAACAAATAAATTTTAATTAGAGAACATGCCGAGAGGGCGCAACCTTTATGCAATCAAATAAAAATAAAAAAGAACACTGGAAAGATGAGAAGTACAAAAGATAGACCAATTATACTGATAACTTTAATATTGCGCCTTTTTGACAGAAGCTGTTTTCTCATCATCGAACATTGACCTCCACTTTTCTTCTCCAGCTTTACCAATAATAGCAGCATGTTTAACACCCAGATTATTCCCCTTAAACTGCCACCTAAATTCTTCCATGAAAAATTTATATATATAAAAAATAAAACAAAAACATTAACAAGCTTCTTACGTAGTATCCTTCCTCCAGAATGGGTATGTTCGATCCCTTCAGAAGACAACACCCCACTACTATCCCCAATTAAACAACCCAACCCTATCATCCTCAATGCACAGCTGCACTTTAGGGTCACTCCTTGTCCATCATCATCAATGCGCAGCTCTACTTTCCTTGTCCATCACAGTTAATCATACAATGAAGCCTTTTAAGTTCTCCATCCTTCCTGGTAGATTTTTTCCTCCTCCCTTTTACTTCTTAGCTAGCACAATCATCTCTCTTTTCCTTTTGCCATTAACAACCAACCAGTTTACCTTCTTTTTTTTTTTTTTTTTTTTTGGATCAACAAAAAAAAAACTATATTGATAAATCAAAAAAAGGAAGCGAAAAATGAGGCATCCTCTTACAAAAAAACAATGAGAATACAAAAATTGAAAACCCTAACAAGCTAATCACGAGCAAAAGCCTACATATCACACACCGCCAACCAATCTCTAGCTAACAAAAAAAAATGAAACTCCCTTAAATAAAAAGCTCCCCAACACCCAAAAAAAAGTCAAGTAACAAACATCATCCCACAAACAGCCCGCCTCCTGGAACTTATCTTCCATCCATAGAATCCAAAAAGTTGCGAAGACGGCACAAGACCATAGCATTTGGGCTCTCTTCGATCCTCCGAATGTGCAAAAATCAACTAGGAGCATATGTGCACTTCCTTTTGGGGCTACCCACATAACATTCCCTAAAGAAAACAATCTATGCCATAAATTCAAAGTGATTGGACAATGCAAGAATAAATGATCCACGGATTCCCCATTCTTACAATACAGAATGCATCATTGAAGATTTAGAAAACGTTAGCTTGTTTGGTTCTAGTATTTAGAAACCAATTTTTAGAAAATTCTAATTTTTTATTGTTCGTATATTAATGTTTTCAATGAATTTTTTTAATATTTTAAGTAAATTTTTTTAATTTTTAGACACACCTAACATAAATACACTTAAAAAGTATAATATTCGTGAAAAAATCTTTAAAAAATACACTAAATATCAAAAAAAAATACGAAAATTCAATACATTTTTCGTATTTTTATGTATTTATTAATTTTTAAAAATATTTTTCACAAATATTTTACTATTTAGATACATTTAAGTGAAGTGCATCTAAAAAAGTAAAAAAAATGCTTAAAATTTAAAAAATATTCAGTAAAAACAAGAAAACACGAAAAACAAAAAACTTAATTTTCAAAGAACTGAATTCAAAAAACTGAAACCAAACACACTATTAGGTCTCCATTTCTATAATGTATCATTTGTCAAAATGCCTCCATGAACCAAGGCCCACATGAACACCTTTACCTTTAGAGGAGTACAAGCCTTCCAAACTTTTTTTGCAAAAAGGAAGCTGAGGATTATGAAGATTATTAGCGATGTAATCAAAAAAAGTCTTATAAGAAAATATCCCGACAAATGAAGAGCCCAAACCCTCTTGTCCTCCAAAAAGGAGATAAAGAAAAATGATCAATTTTGGACAATAAAAAAGTCAACTGTGAAGCCTCCCTATCATTAAGATTCCTAGAAAAATCAAAATTCTAAGAAATTGGAGCCAAAAGTAAACAAATCATGGAAACAATTGAAGAATTATGAGATCGAGCCACTTTATATAGATGTGGGAAATCAACAACAAAAGAAGATTGACCCATCCAAATATCCTCCCAAAATCGAACAAGATCCCCATTGCCCACCCTTATAGAAAGATGACGAGACCAATGTGTGAACATTTGAGAAATTGACTACCAAGGAGCACGACAGTTACCCCTCAAAACCACCCGTGAATCCCTACCATTGTCATGAGTCTCATATTTGCTTCTTATAACCGAATGCCATAGTGAATCAGTCTCAAGTGGAAATCTCCATAACCACTTGCCAAGAAAGGCCATGTTCCTAGCCAAAATATTACCCGATAGCCAAACCCCCCTTCTTCTTAGGTAGCGACACTAACTCTCAATTCACCTAGTGATCCTTTTTCCCATCATCCTCGCCTTCCCAAAGAAAATCCCCCATCCTTGCCACCTTCACCGGAACCTTGAACAAAGATAAATAATGTAGGTGTTTGGGAAGTTGCTATTTTAGTAGGCTAAAATTTTTGTATTTGGGAAGATAGTTGAATTTTTTTATAATTAAATGTGAGCCTTGTTTGGTTTGATTTTGGAAAAAAAAATTTGGAAATATACTCTACAAACACTTTTTTAAGAGTAATCAAACCAAATAGATTTTCTCAAAAAACTCTCAAAAATGTGTTTGGTTATCCAATTTACAGGATTACTTTTGAAACATGTTCGCAAAAAAGGCAAACCAAACAAGTTTTTGTACTTTTATCTCAAAAATTACTCTACAAAAAAGCAAACCAAATAAGTTTTTGTACTTTTTAACTCAAAAAACTACTCTACAAAAAGGCAAACCAAACAAGTTTTTGTACTTTTTTATCTCAAAAACTACTTTACAAAAAAAAACCAAAGTTATTTTGGAGAGAATATTTGGAAAAAGACAACTTTTTATCTCAAGAATATTTTACAAAAAGCAAACCAAACAAGTTTTTGTACTTTTTATCTCAAAAACTACTCCACAAACACAAACCAAACAAAGCCGTGATGTTTATGAGGGAAAAAAGTGAAATGATTATGAGTTTGATGTAATATTTTGTCTTATTGGCTATTTTGACCTCTTTTATCTTTTTGTAAATTTTAGCCCAAAAAGCCAAAAAATAGCCTTTGCCAAACACCCCCAATAAATAGGAATACCACTCAAAACAGTCTTAACCAAAGTGTATCTACCCCCACATAATAATAAAGCCTTACTCCACCCTTCCAATCTCTTGCCAATCTTTTCCACAATTGGATTCCAAAAAGCTTCACTCCTAGGATTATCCCCCAATGGAAGACCTAAATACTTAAACGGAAGTGACTCTATACCACATCCTAAAAGTGTCGCCCTGTTCCGAAGCTGATCTTGTTGCATATTAATTCCCACCACGCTACTTTTCCCTAAATTAACCTTAAACCCTAAGATAATCCCAAAAAGTCTCAAAATTGAATAAAGATTAACTATCTGACTTTCATCCCCTGAAGAGAAAAATATTGTATCATCCGCATATTGTATATGTGTCACACAACTCTATCCATAATCCCTCCCCACCTCCAACCCCATAAAAAGACCTGCTTCTTTAACTTTATCGACCATCCTTCCTAGTACATCAGCCAGCAAAATTAATAAAAAAAGGAGATAGTGGGTCCCCTTGTCGTAGCACCCACGAAGACCTAAAATAATCTCCTGGTTTACCATTAACTATGCCTAACATATTGCAAGTCGATGAACATCCCCTAATCCAAGATCTCCACTACCCACCATATCCCTTCTTATCCATTACAAAATCCAAAAATTGCCAATCCACATGGTCATATGCCTTCTCAAAATCTACCTTAAAAATAAATCCCTCCCTCTCTGAACTTCTATATTCCTCCACTACTTCATTTGCCACAAAGACGACATCTAAGATTTGTCTTCTTTTCACAAAAGCCCCTTGCGCCCTAGACACAGTATCCCCCAAAGACATCTTTAGTCGTTTTGATAAATCCTTTCCCAAAATCTTATAGAGTGATGTTACCAAACTGATACGCCTAAAATCTCTAATTCTTACAACATCCACTTTCTTAGGAATTAAACAGATGAATGTGGCATTTGAGCTCAAATTAACAACCCCCGACTCATGAAATTCCAAAAACACTCTCAACAAATCCCCTTTCACCACCTCCCAACAATCTTGAAAGGCAGCCATGGAAAAACCATCCGAACCAGATTACCTTCCTAATAATTTGTTCAGCATGATCTTGACTCAAGTATCCACCATCATCATTAGTGAGGTTAAACAACTTTTACTTACCAGTGTTCTTATCAACCTTCGAAGAATGAAAAGGTGTTGCCATTAATTTCCAATGAAATTTCAAATTAAAATGAATTCCTTGAAGATCAACCCTCCCCCTTATCCCCTCCCCTGTGCTTGGCCCTGTTCTTAACTCCATATTCCCCTCCACCCCCTGCAAAAAGGAACTTTGTGCAATCACCTTATTCCTCACGAGGAACTTGCTAACCCCAAACTCCCCTTGAAGCTCAACCCTCCCCCTTATCCCATCCCGTGCTTTGCCCCATTCTAAACTCCATATTCCCCTCCACCTCCTGCAAAAAGGAAATCTCTGCGATTACCTTCTTTCTCACAAGGAACTTGCTGAACCCAGAGACCCTTTCCTCACAAATCTGACATGTTATCTTCACAGCATCCCCCAAAGCTACCTTCCATTACCACTACTAGAATCTCGCTTAACCACCACTTTGGCCTTAGCCACCAACGATCCTAAACCCCACTTCCCTGTCAAACACCATTATCCGCTACCCTGTGCCCCCCGCAAACAGAAACCACTCCATCACTAATACCCTATGAAGCACGGACACGGGCACGCATACGGACACGGGACACGGAATTTCTAAAAAAATGGAGACACGGACACGGCTGGGGACACGGCAAATTTTTTTTTTTTATATAAATATTTTTATTTTAATACAAATTAATTATTTTATTTAATTATTATATTTTTAAATAAACATAATTCTATTAATTTTTTTATTTTATTTTTTTTACTTTTTTTATTTATTAATATATATAAGTATATATTATATCTTATATTTATATATTATATAAGATATAAGATATGCCTTTTTATTAATATTAAATAAATACTTCTCTTACGCTCTTTGTGTCTAGATTTGGACACGCGTGTCTAGATTTGGTGGACACGCGTGTCCCCGCCATGTCTCCTCCGTGTCCCTGCAAAAAAAATAATTAAATTAAAGGGACACGCCATCCGGCGTGTCCCGTACGTGTCCCCGGCGTGTCCCCGTGTCAGACACTGCCACGGCATGAAATCTGGCGTGTCCATGCTTCATAGCTAATACCAACACCAAGAAAGTCTGACCAATAACCACCATCACTTCTAGCAATCCCCACCTCCCTTTACTCTGCCTTCGAACACCTAGTATCAATGCCTACCCCTACAACTGATACCCCATCATCAACACTTGACTCCTACAAACCCCCATACTCCACCACCCTTGGCTCCAACTATGTGGCCTACCTCGAAGTCCCTTCTCCTATTTCTACCTCCCGAACTCCCCTAATACTAGTACTCTTCTAAACCATTTCATCCAACAAAACTCCCACCATCCCTACCCTCTGCTTCTGAATATAAGAAGAAATAATGATCATCAAAAGGAACAATACAACTCACCTAAGGGAGTAGAACCTCATTGACTGGCCCTGCCAAACCCATACCCTACAAGGTATTCACCACCCCTAGCCTACTGTTGTTTTGGGCTTGGTTTTAGCTGGGCTTCACAAAAAATTTGGACCACTAGGCTCCCCTCTTGACCTAGGCCACTTCAACTTTAAAGCTATGATTAGGTCTGATCCATTTCATTCACCACCTCAGAACACTTCCCTTTCGCAACCCAATTAACTTCCTAAAACCCAATTCCATTATGTTTTTCTGTTGGATTGCTAAATAACCAAGCCCAACCTGTTTAAAAGTGTAACGGGGCATTATTTCTAGAAAAAGATAATGGGATCCTCTAACCTGCAATCCAATTCTTTCACCTGATGCCCAAAACACTTAACAAACCCTGCTTCAACCCATGTAACAGATATCCAAACCAGCAATTTAAGAATAGTTTATACAAAAAAAATATACACTTATTTTATGCACAAATATACGTAGGCATTGATTTACAAATATATGCACATAACTAAATATGCCTACATACATCAATACATTTCTGTATTACTATATACATAAACATTTGCTTATACACGCATACATTTATATGTACCCACAAATTCTCAATGTTCCCATATATATGTGAGCATATATACGTTTACATACCTATGAAAAAATAGATAAAGATGACAGAGACAACACAGATATGTCTATTATCTTCAAGCAATTTTTTACAGGCCTAAAATAAAATAAACATCGCCATGCCAACCCAAAAAAAAAAAATAATAATTTCCAAAACATAGAAATTCAAGATACTTTTATTTTTAAATTTGGGATTTTTAAAAGGAGAAAGCAAAAGGGATTAAAAGGCAACTTCTTACTTATTAGCAGTACTTTGAAAAAGGTCCCACCAAATGGTACCAAAACTAATTGAAGGAATTTCCCTGTATCCATGTTACCTTACTTTTCTTGTGACTGTGAATGTCATTAAGATCTTCATCTCCATCATGCTTCCTTTTCTGGAATTATATAAAGAAAAAAAAAATCAGATCTGATTTGTTGAAAGATCAAAATTCGGAGAAAAAGTGAAACACCATCTTTGGACCAAGAACTTCAAACAAAGGCTACCCTTTAACTGAAGAATAATTCTTCCTTTCAATCTTTGCAGCTAATTTCAACATTTTAATGAAGAATAGTTCTTTCAGAGATTAATTCTTGAAGGAAAAACATTATTTTTGGAACAAGGAAAAACTAAAACTTCAACTCTTGGATAGTTTAAAACCACTAGTAACAAGGCAGTTGTGCTACACACCGATACAGAACTTATATTATACCACTAAAACTTCAACACTTGGATAGTTTAAAACCACTAGTAACAGGGAAGTTGTGCTACACACCGATACAGGACTTATATTATACCACTAAAAACTATATACATACAAGACAAAGCAGCTGTATTGAAAACTCAGACCCCAACCTTCTCATGGTGTTTCTTCGAGTGTTCAGCACCAGAATCATGATGCCCACTTTTATCTTTCTTTTTCTCCTTGTCTTTATCTTTACTTCGATTGTGACGGTGCCTGTGCTTCTTATGCTCTTTATCCTTCTCTCGGTCTTTGTCCTTGTTCTTTTTATGCTTCCTCTCCTTATCTTTGGACTCACTTTTAGATTTTCCAGCAATGGTAGGAATCCCTTTCTCTGCCTATAGAACGCAAGATACAAATGGGTCATACTTCTGCAAAAAGTTGACAGGAAGTACAGTAAAAAGGCAGAAAAATAGTGAAAGAAACCCCCTGCAGGACCCATCAAGTTTTAGAATTTTAAGGATCAAAACAAGGGACCATCATCCAGCATAAGCAAGTAAAGTGAAACAACAAAATCAAAACAAAGCCTCAGAGATGCAGATATTTTACGGGAGGCAGATCGATCGGAGCAGTTTCCCTCAGTTGAAAGGCTTCTCTGAGGACATCTAAGTCAAAAGGCTGTATCCGAGCATTTGTTTCTCTTGAGTAAGTATCCTGAATGAGCTGATCCAATTGCATCCCTTCCCCTTTCCTAATTTCAGTGTCTCCCACCACATTGTGAAGGTAGTGTGTATCTGAAATAGACAAGGGAAGTGACCTCTTGCAAAAGAACTCATGGTGAGGCAACAACTTATAGTGACTTATAAGATCCACAGCACCTGTAAGTTCTCTTGGCCCTAATGTTCAAACAAGACAGTCAACCAAAGTTATGAACTGAAAAAGGGGGGGGGGGGTGGAAGAGAAGAGCAAAGCAGTTGGGTGACAAACTTTTTACAACCAAATACATGTCAATGAAAGATAAGGAAAATGATATGCCAAGACAAAGTAGCATGCCTTATTTTATGCAAGACAAATATCAAAACCTTTTGATCAAATACCTAAAAGCACATGAAATGGAATTCCACATTAGAACGTATTTTCAAGTAATGAATCAAAAATAGTAATAGTAATAAATAAATTGGAAAATAAAAGCTTATAAAGGTTACAAACTAGAAAGTTGCTTCACAGAAGGTATAGATTTCCTGCCCGGAAAACTTTTTTTTTTTCTTGCAAGTTGCAAGTATTTGCTGCCTGAAAATCTCATACAACCCACACACCACCAGTTTGTTTATAGTTCCAATACCATTTTTCACAGACCAAAGTAAATAATTAATCCTACAAAATCTTAACTTCCGGCAGAGAAAAAACAAGATAAGACTACATAACCAAACCAGATAACCTACACAGCAAATAATGCATATACAAATCCCACAATGGATCCCTTAAGAATACCACCTAGAATGCAAATTGCAATGCAGAAACTAAAGATAACTTTCAAAAGATAGCCTTGCTCACATAAACCAAACTCAAGTATAAGAATGGAATAAACTAAAAAGATATACATCAGACTCCCAACTGACTTGAGAACTATCAAAGTTCAAAGTTCATGGCCAGCTCGCCTAAGCCCTCTTTTGGGAAGTGGGTCATAATCCACTTCCCAGATTATAACCCACTTCCCTCTCTCAGATTATAACCCACTTCCCTCTCTCACAAAAAGCTAATTATAATCAACTTTTAACCAAAAAGCTTATTATAACCATCTTTCCAAAATAGCCCTAAGCATGATGCTATTAAGAGATCTGATGTGTGTGTTTAACCCATCGTTAGAGGTAAGGCGGTCCTCCCCCTTTTCATGTCTCATAAGGTAAAACAAGCAAAGTGACTCCTGCATTGAAATGTTAACTCAAATGTACATACACCTAGATGAATGTAAGACTGCCATGAAGCTAGAATGACACGGACTCAATTAAAAACATGGACCAATGGCCATAATGCACAGTTCAGCCTAAGTACTCAGATGGGGAAGTGAACAAGGAGCAAGGCTTACATAAAAACAGCAAAAATGCATAAAAGTCCAAGAAAATATCACACAGACAATAAGACATATGTCATACATGCACATCACAAATAAAGCCTAACAAACATGGCCAGGCAAATTACCTCTTCCAAACTTCTTGCCTTCAGGATCCATGAATCAATGTTAGACAAAAGGGTGGACCATTATCACCTGAGAAATTAATGACACAAAGGAGGGGGAAGAGAAAATTTAAACTACTAGTAACAATCAAACTTCATTTAATATGCCAACAGTGCAACCATCATTGGGAACACCAACAGCAATAAAACAAAAAAGAGCAGCAAGAAAGAGAGAGGAATCAAGAGTCTCAAGTATGGTAAGGGGGGATGCTCGAACACCTCCACTAATCTCTTGCTGAAACATTGGGGCATTTTGGCAAGTACGTGCAACAGAGATCAAAATGCAAACCAAAAAAGTAAACAAACACTAGTAGCCATTAAATTTGTGGAAAAGCTTATACATATAGGAAGTTCTATTTTTAAGCACTATTTCCATTGTCCATCATGAAACTAAATAACCAGTATTTTAATGAGTTTGCATCAAGAAGTATTATAAATTTAACTACAAAAGTCTTTTTTTTTTCAAATCGTGAATCGAAATGACCTTGTACTGAATCGCAAATCGAATCGTGAATCGTAAAGAATCGGTCACTTTTTCCAAATTACTTAGAATAATATATCTACATACTTGGATGCTAAATATGTATTATAAACATAAAATATTTAAATTAACGAAATGTTGTTTTGAATGATGATCGCATGGTCTAATGAGTAAGAAATTAACATAGGTTCCCATGTAAGATCACTAACCTTACCTTTTTCCTTTTTTAGATATTGCTTATCAATCATTCTTAATAAAGAACGTAAACAAAGACAAACTTTTAACCTTTAAGTAACAATAACTTAACAATGTTTATGATATTTCATAAGCATACATACTTCAAGTAACAATGACCCAATAATAATAAAGAATTAATTGAAACTTGCAGAACTATTAGGTTTAATTGACCTCACCCATGTAATATTGAAGTATATTGATTTCAATAACATAGCAATAGATAATTCATATTGCAAGTTACTTTAATTTTAAACATCTTTAAAAACATGTTAGGTTTGACTAAATCTGATTAGATCCTATTAAAAAATCCCTAATCTCCAAAATAACAACTCATGTATATATATATATATATATATTGGTTATTTTCGCACTAAACACTATTAAAAGTTGTATTAAGTCATTTTAACTAAAAAATGGGAGAAAAAAATAATCGAAATATGTCGGACATGATAGTTTCAAGAGATGCATAAATCGTAAAAAATAAATCAAATCGTGAATCGATTATGAATCGTGCAATTCACTATAGATTCGCTTCCAAAATAGATTCACCCATAGATTCGTATAAATTTTGCAAAAAATGTGAATCGAATCACAAATCGTAAGATTATGATAACAAAGTTTTGTGTAATAAACATAGTAAAAATCTCAATGCCACCAAGAGTAAATCAGCAATTCATTGAAAACAAAGTCCATGCTTTGGTTTCTTTTGATTTTATCTTCAGAATTTGCAGTCAAATAACATGGCCCCTTGTTTCAGGACACAAACAAATGCTTAAGTGGCTACAAGTGTCCAACTAGTCAACAACTCATACAAGTAATATTACAACGCAAGATATCCCTTCATGAATATAGTAATCACATATTGAAGTGCCACGAACCTAAAAAGGAAGTCAAATTTCATAGATAAAACATCTTCCAAGGTTTAGGCCCCGTTTGGGGACTTACCTTTTTAGCCAATTAGCCAAAAAGTTACTAAATTAGCCAAAAAGCCAACAACTCATATCAAAAAGTCAAAGATTCTCTTTTCTCTCTACTTTTTGCACATCTTTTCATAATTAGCCAAAAAGTAATCCCAAACATACAAGTTTTTTTTACCTACCTTTTTAGCCAAATAGTCAAAAAGTTACTAAATTAGCATGTTCTCAAACGAAGCCTTAGTATCAATATAAGCGCTATGTTTAATTTGAAAGAGCGATTGAAGTTTCTTTAGCATGATAATATACTTGCACACTACCCTATAGAACCTCCCCAACAAATGAAAATTTTGTACATTAACTGGGCGCGATTTGCTTTAAACCACACCAAAATCATGGTCTCTAAGGTTTCTGGAGTCAACTTGAAATCTCATACCAATAGGCAATAACACAAACCTTCAAGCGACACCAATAATACATAATCAAATAAATGCCTCTTTGTCTTTTTGTGAAATAAATGTACATGAGATGTACCTAAAACATGAGTGTGTGCGTATGTAAAGGAGACATATAGCTTGATGTATTAAATAACTCTTGAACACAACTTTTTTTTGTTTTAAGGAATGTCATTAAAGAGCATTTTAAAGGAGGTGCACCCTGATTTGGAACGTTTATGGTTCACTCAAATATGACAAAGCACTCTGGAAGTTTCAAATTACTATAGTTTCTAATATAAGAAGACAAGCAAAAGCAAGGGCCCCACCAATTGCCTAGTTACCCACCTTGGAACCAAGGCTACTATAGGAAGTGCTCATTGAAAGAATCTCTCTTAAGTTGCATAGACTACCTTATTATGACTAAATTTGCTAATAACATTATAGGAGTCAAAATAAGTTGGAAGCAGAAGATTCTAGTTAAAGGGAATAGCAAAGCGACAAAAAAAATAAACTACAATCTTTCAAAAGTCACAAAACTGCATCAAACTGTCCATGCAGCCAATAGAGGGCAGAACAAGTTCAATTAGTTAAGTGAACACTTGAAAAGCTCCTTATCATACAGGGGTGCCCAAATTAAAAAATTATTGCTTTCCAATTCAAGCAGAAGCACCAATGACTTAACAGACCTCAACAAAACAAGAATCAGTTGAGAATGATTGCCAAAAAATCAATTGATATCCAAATGCCACTGTTTTATTTTTGATTTATATTTGAATTTTTGTTAGGGAAAAAAAGTGAAGCAAACACGATTAACTGTTTGCATCTTAAATTCTTCATGACATAAAACCTTGAAATTACAAACATCTAACAAAATGATAGAATCCAACAATTTGAAAAAATTAAATAAATAAATAATTTTAGACTATGTTACCAGAAAACGCTAATACCCTAATGAATTACGTATCGGTACGCACGTTCCGAAACAAGGTACACTTTCGTTCCAAAACGGTAAATTTAGTGACCTGAAGCGATCCCAAAAGTTTTTTCCAATATGTTTCTTCAAATGTTACCTTAGGAGATAAAAATAAAATATATGAACTAAAATCTAAGGTGAGTTAAGTTTTGACAACACAAAGACATCAAAAATGGGTCATAATTTTAATAGAAATGATTTGTTACATGAAGAAAAAAAATATTATTGGACACCTAAAGTTAAAAGAAAATTACTTTAGAAGTACCTTAAATTTTTAAGTGTAATATATAAAGTCTACTCCTATCGTATCACATTTTAGAGCATGGTGAACCATGTTTCCGTTTTCATTCCCGTTCCCGTTCCCGTTCCATGTACTGGAACTATCCACGTTCTAGGTAACATAGATTTTAGATCTTGTCTCAGATTATTCCTATTTGGCTTGACTTCTATTATCATGAATTCAACAGCTTTAAAGGCTAATCCTTTCATTTTTTTCAACATATGTTTTCATATAGTCACAATGAGGAATAATTTCCTAAGAAATCAGAACCATCATAGAGCCTATAGAATTCATATCATTTGGGAAATGGGCAAGTAAGAAGAAAAGTTACTTTCTTGGAGGTCAATCACCCACTTATTGATAATTGGAATTTGAAAGTAATAATACCTCGAATCAATCAATCTCTAACCTTGTCTCTCATACCCCTTGTTATTAAAATCATACGATTTGCAATTCGAAACGTATCAATTCAACGAGTAATCAATAATCACGTCGAATGAATCACAAATAGCTACGAATCAAGTGTGAATCGTGAATCAATCGATTCGCTTTCAATCCACTAAAATTGATTTTTGCCTTCTTTATTTGTTTTTTTATTCTTGGAAAAGAGTTCACATAACCCTTTCAAGGCCTTGAGGGTTACTATAGCCTTGTTTGGGGTACTCTAAAAAAGCTAAAAAGTCAAAAAATCACTATCATATTTAAGTCACATCACCTCTCTACCACATCACTTCAAAACCCAACCAATACTCAACCCATATTTCACAAAAAATCAAAAAGTGCACTTATTGAGATCATCCCAAACCACCCCTATATGTCATCCTTTAACTTTCTCACTCCCTATTTACTCTCCAAGACTCAAACCCTGGAAAGATAAACGAACCTTCTCTCTCTACAATATTCTAGGCTTGCATATTCAACTTTATCCAAGTGTTTGCACTTGTAAATGAAATCTTTTGAAAGCATCAAGTGAGATTTCTTAAAAAGTTTGGAGATTTGGGTTACTTTAACCGGCTTTGAAGTGAGTGTTTCTATTTACTTCTTGTTTGGAAATTAAGAAGTTGAAAGAAGTTAAAAATATTCTTAAAAAGTTGAAAGAAGTTAAAAATATTGTTGTTGACTTCTTGTTTGGAAATTAAGAATTTGTCTTTATTTACTTTCTTTATTAAGAATGAATGAAAAAAAATATTCAAAACGGAAAAGTTAAGGTGGTGATCATACATAGAAACCCGTATTAACTTCTTACCGGTTAGATCAAGTGATCATCATTTAAAACAACAATTTCTTTGACTTAAGTCTAAATATTCCATATTTGTAAAATATAGTTAATATCTAAGTGTCTAGATATATTTTTGCATAATTTAGAAAAAGTGACCAAATCCTTATGATTCACAATTAGATTTGATTCGCAATTCGACACAAGGCCATTTGATTGACGATTCAAATCCCGATTTTCATTCTTCAAATACCCAAATCTACATTAAACAAACGAAACCGTGAAATTTATTTTCTGCCCTTCTTTCGACTCGGTTTCTAAGCAACCCCACACAAATAACGAGACAACTTGATCTCACAATTGAGGCACAATTAAACAATCCATGAACATACATGCAAGAGGGAAGTTTATCAATAAAAAACGAGTACAATTCAATTTCAAATTACATACATCTATCAGTATGTATGTCACTGAGAGGAATATCTTACCTAATTGCAGTGAGAGATCCACAGCGTAAAGTTGCCTTCAAGGAGTAGAAATTTTCGGCTCTTCCTTGCTATTCGTCTAGGCGTGTTTGAAGCAAAGCAATGAATAGAGTAGAGAAGAGGCCTAGGGCTTAGCTTTTTAACCAGAGAGGGCTTTGTTGTCTCCGAACTGAACTAAACCCTAACACCTGTTTCAAAGTTGAAACTATGGTCACAAATGAAGCTGGCTTTTGTTCGTCCTGTTGTGTTACATTGCACCTTTTTTTAATACTCTAAAAGCAAACAATTTTTTATTGGTATTGTTCAGTTTGGTTCAATTAGTGTACAAGGCATTTTTTTCACCAAGCTGAACCTAACGGTTTTGTGTATATAAGCATCAAAACCGACCAAACATACCAAAAAACTGAACCGAACTGACGTGAACTGCACCCAATATTACAAATCTTTAACAAAATATTTAAAAGCCCACTACTCAAAATCACAAGACTGCAAGTCCCTAACTAAACAGAAAAAAACAAACCCGGTTTTACAATATTTTAACAAAATTCAATTTAAAAGCCCACTACTCAAATTACAAGCTACCCAAATTGCAAGTCTCCAACAAACCCACTACACAAATTACAAGTCCAAAAGCAACAATTTTGACAGGTTTACAAGAATTTACTTGTTTCAACCTCATCACCACCAAAAGACAACACTTTTTTGATAGATTGCAATAAGAAGCCACTCATGTCTTTCTCTGGGTAACCTTCCAACACTACCATGACTAAAGCAACAGAATTGAAGCTTACATTGCTAAGGTTCAAAAGATCATACTTTTCCCATGACAGACTGGTTAAAGCATCACCAAGAGCTTCAACCTGAAAAAAATTGGGACATACCATCGGTCCAGAAAAAGGAATAACACATGAAGAAGCAAGCAGTGATCAGTATAATACCACAAATTTGTCTTACACACACACATCACCATCAAGAACAACCAAATCAGCATAACACGCATACACATCACCATAAAGAAGAGCCAAATCAGCATAATCATGGAGAAGTAATAGAAAGAGAGAGAAAGACAAGGTATAGAACCTGAGGTGAGAGAGAGAGATAGAGAAAGAAAGAAAGAAGCCCTAGAGTAGCGATCCAGAGAATGGGAGGGAAGTGAGCTGCCGGAGACTTGGAGTGTTTGACGCCGTCGCCACCGTCAGAGAGAGAGAGAGAGAGGGCCGATCAGAAATCGGCAAATGGCATCGGATATAAAGGAATTTAGGGCATTGGGTTTTGATGACATGTGACGGCACCGGTTGTGAGGAAATTGTACAATCGTTAAAACACCCAGTAACATAATGCCACCTGTATAATGTATATTTTGTTAAAAAAAATATTTGAAACTCTCAAAAACTATTCACAGCTCTATCCAGTGATATAATAACTCTGTTTGGTAGGGTTTATTTTCAGCTTATTTCAGTTTTTAGCTTAATTTAAGTTATTTTGATGTGTTTAGTTCAGTTTAACAATACAACTTATAACTTTTTGTAAATTAAAAATCAACTTATTCTTTGAATGGAGGAGAAAAAACTTAATTTATAAGTAAAAAAGTTTATGTTTACAGTTATAAGTTATAAGCTATTAAATTATAATCTATAATCTTTTTTTCACAACTTTATCAAATGAGGCCATTGATGTTTGTCAACTTTTGATTTCTTATAATGATAGTGGGTTCAACTTTCATACTATATTATTGTAGGTTAATTTGTAATTATAAATATGTGAATTTTTAACATTACTCAAAAAAATTGTAATCAAAGTGTGAGTAAAATAAATTATATAACTTATTAATTTGTATATAAAAAATATTATAGATTTCAAATAATTAATCAAAAATTTTACTAAAATTTTTATATAAATGTGAAACTCACGCACATGAGTTTTATTTGTGAGTTTGTGTAGGTCCCTCTCTAGCATAATTATACCAAATAAAATATAAAATGTTTAAGAACCCAATGATGATCTGGCTGCCCTGATTCAAATTTTTAACGGTTTGCCTTGAGTTTTGGTGTGTTTATTGTCTTTAGTTGGGAAACCATCCCCCAACACAAATGTACACTAGGGCCCGGTTGGTTTGAGATTATAGAAAAGGGATTAGAATTGATACTGAGATGAGATTTATTATGCCTCTGTTTGGAAGGTGGGTTGATTTTTTAATTTTTTGACTTTTTGACTATTTTAGTATGGTGTTAAAAAGTCTGATTTGGGAAGGACTTTTTGACTTTTTGACTTTTTTGACTTTTTTTTTTTGTGAGAGAGGAGTGTAATGATTATGGATTGGATTTGATGTTTTGTTTTTTGTGATTAAAATAACTTATTTTATTTTTTGTGGCTATTTTAACCCCTAACCCACTAAAACCAACTTCCCAAACTATACCTATATAGGGTGTTTGTTTTGAGAGATGTGGATGAGATTTTTTAATCTCTTGATATTAGGATAGGCCTAGAAATGAGGATTGGAATGGAGGAGGTGGAGATGGTATTAGAAAAATAATCCCAATGACTAGAAATTCTTTATTTTATTTATTTATTTACTTTTACATGTTGGGCATTTTTTTTTTTCATTAATGTTTAGTATTTTTGTACTTTTTTGTTAAGTGAAAATCATAGTTTTATTTGTTTTATTTTTTTCTACTTTTTTTTAATTTTAAAATTTTTTTTACATGTTGGACATTTTTTTTTGAACATTAATGTTTAATGTTTTTATAATTTTTTATTATTTTTTTATTATTTTATATTTATTTTATATAAAAATAATTTTTTTTATTTGTTTTATTATTTTATATAAAAATAATTTAACAATTCGTACACTAACAACTATCATCAAAACAAACATAATTTTACTTAATCCCCTCACTATCAATCCCCTCACCAACAATCCTCTCACTATTAATTTCCTTCATTCTACCTCTGAAAACAAGCGGGACCTAAGGAGTTAATTACAAGGGTCTCTCTTTGGGGTTTGATAAATACACCGATTTTCTTTTTAATCTATATTTATATACTATTATAATTATAAAATGTTATCATTTTATTAAAGTTCAAAGTTATAATTTTTTTTCTCATTTTTTTTATTTTGTTTAATTTTTGTTAATATGTGTCACAATATAATTGGTCTATAAATTATTTTATATTGTTAAAATAAAATTTTTAATTTAGATTATTCCTTAAATTATGTTATTATAATTGGAATAAGATCAATATTTATTCCTTAATTTATGTATCTTTTATTAAATTATAAAATAAAATTTAAAATTTTCTTTAAATTATGTTACTACAATTAGAATGAAATCAATATTTACATGTGTCATAATATTAATGGTCTAAACATAATATGTTATTAAATATATGTGTTCAAATTATTAATCAATATTAAAAAAATTTATTTTTATTTTTATTGTTATTTTCATTTTTGGTTTTAAATTTTATAATTTTTTTTAATATCCTTCTAAACTGCAAGGACTTGAATAATAATTTTTTTTTAACAAAAGACAAAAACGTTAAAAAAATGAATGACTTTATTAACTTGCCAAATATGGTGGATTTGTTAAATTTTTTTATCTCAATTGTCAATTAAACAAATTAAAATAGATAAATAAATTTTTTTGGCTAAAAAAAGTTAAGAAATGACTTTTGCTAAAATCAAATGGAAATAAACATTATTTTTCTATTAAAAGTGATGGTTGGAAAAACTTTTTTATATATAACAAAAAAAATAAGAGTTACACGTGATAATTTATTGTTCCAGCAATGCTGCAAGCTCACACTTTCGCCCATAATAGTATGGCAAAAGAGTTGGCCCCACGTCATTGAGTGTATAGGAAATCAATCAAGAGTAAAAACATATAATACCACATCATTGTGGGTACAATTGTGAGTGTTTTTTGTGAGTCTCAAACATTTTCTTTATTGTTTATCTAGACTTTTTTAACACCTGTGAAATATGGTGGATCCTGATAATTTTTTTAAGGATAAATTATATATACACCCCCTAAGATTTAATTAAATTACAAATTACCCTACTGTGATTTTGAAAATTACATTATGCCCCACAAGGTTTCTAATATCATAACAAATAGGTCATTTTATTAATAAATCATCAAGTTAATTAACAATTTTTAATAATATTAAATTTTTATTTTAATTAATAATTCAAATAATTTTATTATTGTATAGGTGAATAGTTAGAAATTTCACTTTTTCAATTAATTCTGTTAAATAAAAAATTCTGACAGTGAGGTATTTGTAATTTTTCAAACTACAGAGGCAATTCATATTTTAAGCAAATCTCAGGGAATATATTTGTAATTTACCTTTTTTTTTAATCTCAATTGTCAATTAAACAAACTAAAATAAAAAATGAAACTTTTTTACTTAAATTGCTAAAAAGTGACTTTTGCTAAAACAAATAGAAATAAATGTTATTTTTCTATTAAAATTGACGGTTCATGATATATCTTTTTTCTATTAAAAAAAAAATTGAGGGTTTTAGGTGATAATTTATTAGTCATCTAGAATTATTTTCAGATCAAATAAAAATGTCATTTTAAATTTTCTTGTTACCTTTTTTTTTATCCAGATACTTTTATTTTATAAGAAATTTAATTTTATTATATTTTAATTATTTTATGTCATTATAAAATGTAATTTTTTTAATATCAACTTATTCAAAGGTGTATTTTTTAAACATAAAAAAAAAATTGTTGAAAAAACTTAAGGGTGCGTTTGGTAACGTTTACGTTTTCAGTTTATATTTACAAAAAATTTATAAACTGGTTTTTGTTTATTTTTTGTTTATTTTTAGAAAAACATAAACTACAAACGCGTTTGATAATTGATAAAATGTTTAAAAAATTTTAAAATATAAAAAAGAGTGAGAAATGGCAAGTGGCGGCGGAAGACGGTGTCTGAGAAAATGAAAGAATGTGGAACTTTTGAATATCAATGCCTGTATTATTTGTTGGGTTTAATCTTATTATTTTGAGGGCGTTACAAAATCCGCTTGAGCGTGAAAAACACACCTGCAGAAGTTTTGCAGAGGCACGAAATGCTGAGAGTGTGTAAACCCTGCTCGAGCGCAAGAAGACCCGCTCGAGCGAACAACCAAAAGTCAAACTTCGCTCGAGCGCAAAGGGACCTGCTCGAGCGTACCACCAAAAATCTGGGCAACAAGAAATGAGACTAAAGCTCAACCAACCTGCTGGAAACACGACCAATACATCCTAAAACTCAAACACACGGAATTAAAGGATAACACAAGATATACAACCACCAACTTCACGGAACCTAAGTCCGGAATACAACAACCAAAGGAAGAGAAACTGAGGTCGCTATACACAGTGAACAATTTTTGATGGCTGCCTAGTACACGAAAAGGTGTGGAACAAAAAATCCAATTTGGCTGCCTAGTACACTAGCTACTGTGCGTAAGTTTTTAGGTTACTGTGCATGGGTTTGTAGAATAAAAATTGTAGGCTTTTTAGGTTTTTTAGTGACTTTTTGACTTTTAAGCTAAAACAGACACCTGCCAAACGAGGCCTTAGTTGTCAATTAAACAAACTAAAATAAAAATTGAAATTTTTTTGGCTCAAATTACTAAAAAGTGAGTTTTGCTAAAACAAATAGAAATAAATGTTATTTTTCTAATAAAAGTGATGGTTTGTGAAATATTTTTTTTTTTAATTTAAAAAAATGAGGGTTATAGGTGATAGTTTATTGATCATCTATAATTACTTTCAGATCAAATGAGAATACCATTCTAATTTTTCTTCTTACCTTTTTTTATTTTTTTTATTTTTATCTTTATATAGATACTTTTATTTTGTAGAAATTTAATTTTATTATATTTAAATATTTTATTGTAATTTTTAAATTAAAAATAATTTTTGCAAAATCATATTTAAATTATTTTATACCATTATAAAATATTTTTTTAATATCAACTTATTCAATAATCCCTTTCTAAAATGTGTTTTTATTTTTGTTTATTAATATTAATTTTTTAATTAATCTTATTTGTTATTAAAAAAATAAATTAGCAAATAATTTTATATATTTATACATACAATTTTGTTTCGATTGTTTAGGTTATTTGGTGTTTTTGTCCAAGTCCATTTAAATTTATTCAAAATTTTGAATTTTACATAGGTTCTCACAGAATTAAAAATTATGTTACACAATTTTTAAAAATTTACAAGCTTGA